GTAACGGGGCAATAGGGCCCCCAGGCGGTCCAGCGTCTTTGTAGCAAATGCTGGAGTGCACCCAAAGTGCTTTCACTGCTGGCCCCCTCTTGTCGTTCCTTCGTAGCAGCATCGTCCCCAAGGTTATCGGTGTCTGAAGGTCCAGTTGCAGAGGAAGCAGTGGTGTCCTCTGCTGCCGGCACTGTCCTGCCTTCTGACTCTAAAAATTCCAGCTCCGACTCTCCCCATATATCATCAGCCATAGGGTATTTCTTAGGAGGAAGAGTAATCCTTGGGGACTCTTCGGCCTTGCCAGAAGCTGCATCAGTGCCTGATTCACTCTGCTCCGCGTTGTCGCTGCGCTGGTCTTCGGTTTCCTCAGAGCTTCCTGGCGCACCATCACCTTCCTGTGCGTCTGGTGACTCTTCTGTTTTCTCGGCGCCATCTTCAGCCTGTTCTTGAACACTGTCATCTCTAATTAGCAGTTCGCTCAAATCCTGAACTTCTGAGGCCCCCTGCACAGGAGCTGCAACTTCGCCGACAGGCCTCACAGCGAGAAACTCTAAAGCAGCTGCGAGTCGGGGCCCAGCCATCATAACTTGGGCCTCCAAGGTGGAGCCGTCTTCTCGTTCCTGATCTGCAGCAGCAGCACCCAAGAAGAGGGAAAGCATTACTGCAGGGCATGTACAAGAGAAGAGAAGCTAAGCCATCCACATGCTGCGAAGTTCTTTGAGCAGAAGATTCAGGGGGAGACACTACTGCGGCAATCACCCTCTCCTGTTGCGTAGAACACCACCCTGTTGGGGCCCAGAGTCTGCAGCAAGTGCTGCAGAAGAAGCCGCTGAGATAACAACCCCTCAGAGCCATGTTCGCCAAGACGAGCCAATTCCTCCTCGAATGAAGCCGGTCCACTGAAATTTGGAGGCAGCGCCTTCTTGAGCTCCTGTGGGGGATATCAGTAGCACACTGCTTAGGTAGCTGTTGACCGTGTGTGGTGCGGTGATGCAGAAGAGGCATCAAGGCCACCCCACCGAAGACATTTTGGGCTCAACAAATATATTATAAATGCTGTGAACCTGCACACGGGTGCTGCAAGGGGTGGGGCCAGAGATCAAAGTGCTGAAACATTCAGGTGCCAACTTCACCTCCAGTAGGTCGGCATCGGCATTGAACGAAAGCTCTATTCCATCTTCCCCCCCTTCAATCCCGTCTGAAGTGTAGTGCACAAGAACAGAGTGACAGGTGGTTTCGTCTCGCCCTCGTAAAAATAATTTTGTAGC